CTCTCACAAAGAAACAATCTTTCTCATTTTTCTCTCTGCTGGCAAGCAGAATATTTTTCTCTGGAAGGTCATGGAGGGTTGTGGCCTTGTTCAAGAGGCCCCGGTTCCAATCCCCAAAGCCTCACGTGTTTTCTCAGTCTCTCACTCTGCCCTTAGGCAGGCATTGAGACTTCCCTTATACATCCAGGCTCCTGACAGTAAACGGACCACTTTGGACCTCCCTCTGTTGGTCCTAGCTAAGGGTATGTTAACAATTTTTCTTTTTTCTTTTTCTGCCTCTAGGAATAAAGGTCACAACAGCCTTTACCTGTGGTGATTAGCTTCAGTTTTGTTTAACCTCATTTGAGACCCAGCCTATATTCCATTCTCCATGCAGCTTAAAAAGGAGTCATACACTTTGGATATTAAATTAATAAATAAGTGGTGATACCTATTGGGCTCAGTTTTCTTCTCTTTTCTCTCTGTTTTTGAAATCTATACTCTGTGGTCTATAAAACAGGAGGAGAAGAGAGGTAACTGACACCTATCACCTCTGCCTTTCTCATCTGCTAACACCTCTGAGGAATATGCAACATTTTAAAAATCTCACTTTTTTCTTCCTTTCCATCATTACCTGAAAGTGATGGAGAACACTGCAGAGACCCATGCCCTGATTACATAAATCAGATTGTACCTAGAAGGCAGAAGCAGCCTTCTGTCACTCAAGTGCTTGTGTATGCAATGATGTGCCTGTGTCCTTTCTTGCCCAGGTTATAAAATTATAGACATACAAAGGATCCTGACGGCTCTTGAGGGAGCTGCACATCTAATGAAGAGACAGACAATCTACTTTTCTTTTCTTTTTTCTTGTGTTTATTGGTCAGCTCTGATGTGACAAGAAATGTGCCAAACGCTGTGGCTACAATGATAGAGGAGACATTTCTTTCCCTTGAAGAGGTCATTGTCTGGTAGAGGAGGAATGCACATAAACACAAGTCACACAAAGTAAGCACTGGGAGAAGGAAGATGTTGGAGGTGTGCAGAAGAGTTTCTGGAGGAAATGAAACCTGAAATAAATCTTCAAAAATAACTGAGAGTCGGTCCATTCCTTTACTTAATATGTATTTATTAATTACTGATTATGAGCTGAATACTAGGGTAGGTCCTTGACATGCATCTGTTAATGACAAAGGCATAGTTCCCAACATCATGGGCTGGCATGCTTTGGCCACAATGATGTGCTGTGCTTAACAGGAACAGCACAGCTAAGTGTGTCTGAAAAGCTTTCTCTTTCAAGTTATGTGTCTTTTGATTGGTCATTATTTTTTTCTTGGGCCAATGTTTCCTTTCAAGATGTCAATATGCTCGCTTTTCTAAACTTAGTCAACTTCAGATTGGTGTGGAGAACCCATCTTTGTTGGAAGGCAGGCACCCATCAGCCATTGTACTAAGGTCTGGGAAAAAGGCCGGGAGATTGGATATGTGATTCTTTCCCATATTGTTTATTAAGCTCATTTCCATGGTCTCCACAGCATTGCTCTCTCCACATCTTTGCCCCGTTTGGACAGTAATTGCAAACACTCCCGTTGACTTTATTGGAATCTTCTACTTATTGTCTCTTATAGAAATAGAGAGACTATAGGTGGAGACAGGAAACAGGCTCAGAAATAACGTATCTGACATAGCCATAGGTGCCCACAGATGGAGTTTGTTATGATTCTTTGGAAGTTCGCATAACAGAGAGAGCTACTATGTTCTCTGTCAAATGAACTTATAAGTGACCCTGGTGAGAGCAGACTTATGCTATTGACATAAATGAATGAATACAAAGCTAGAAGGTTACATTTCTCTTTTGGTTAGATTCTATGGTTTGGTTGGATTTAGTTCACTCTCTAAAATTGTTCAGTAAAACAGATTATAAACTTAAATGTAGGGTCGGTCACGGTGGCTTACACCTGTAATCTTAACACTTTGGGAGGCTGAGGTGGGCAGACAGATTAAGGTCAGGAGTTCAAGGCCAGCCTGGCCAACATGGTGAAACCCCATCTCTACTGAAAATACAAAACAATTAGCTGGGCATGGTGGTATGAATCTGCAGTCCCAGATGCTTGGGAGGCTGAGGTAGGAGTGTTCCTTGAACTCAGAAGGTGGAGGTTACAGTGAGCTGAGATTGTGCCACAACACTCCAGCTTGGGCAACAGAGTGTGATTCCATCTAAAAACACACATACATACACATACACACACACACACACCACAAAAAAACCTTAAATGTAAAACTACAAAACTTTTGAAGAACTGTAGAAGAAAATCTTTAGTGTCTATGATAATGGCAACGAGTTTTTAGACCTGACACCAAAAGCACAATTCATAAAAGGACTTTCCGATAAATCAAATGTCATCGTAATTAAAACATTTGGTCTCGAAAAAAGACTACGTTAGGAGAATGAAAAGGCAAGCTACTGACTGGGAGAAAACATTTGCAAATTTGTAAACCATTTATCCAACAAAGAACTAGAATTTAGAATATATATCAAATTCTTACAACTCAATAGTAAAAAAAAAATTCAATTAAATTTAGTTAGAAAATGGGCAACTGATATGAACAGTCACTTCACAGAAGAGGTATACAGATGGCAAGCTCATGAAACTAGCAGAATGGCTGAATTAAAATAATAGTGATAACACCAAATGTGGAGCAACCAAGGCACTCAAACATTGCTGTTAGGACGTTAAATAGAACAGCCACTATTAAAAAACACTAGAGAAAAACAGTTTGGCAGTTTCTTTAAAAACGACACATATGCTTACCTACAACCCAGCAATTGCATTCCTGGATACATTTATCCTGGAGAAATGAAGACTTATACTGACAAAAAAAATTGATAAAACCCTATTGTTTTATCAATTTATTCATAGTAGCCCAAATCTGGAAATAACTCAGATGCCCTCCTATGAGGCAAGGGTTGAACAAACTCTGATTTATTCATACCATGTAATAGCACTCAGCAGGTCAAAGGAATGAACTATTGATACACATAGCAACCTTGATGAATGTTCAGAGAATTACACCGAGTAAAAAGCCAATCTCAAAAGATTTTATACTGTATGATTACATGGTGGTGAACACACGACCTTATACTGGTGATAAAAAATTACTCAGAACTGGCTGGGTGCAGTGGCCCATGCCTGTAATCCCAGCACTTTGGGAGGCAGAGGTGGGAGGATTACTGAAGCCCAGAAGTTCAAGAACAGCCTGAGCAACATGGCGAGATCCCATCTCTATAAAAACAAACTTTTAAGAAAAGTAGCCAGGCCTGGTCACATGTAACTGTGGTTCTAGCTAGTTGGCAGGCCAAAGCAGGAAGATCACTTGAACTGAGGAAGTTGAGGCTACAGTGAGCCATATTGCACCACTATATTCCAGGCTGGGTGACAGAGTAAGACCCTGTTTCCCCAAAAAAAAAAAAAAATTACATAGCACTAAATACACACTAAATACACATACACAAGTAAAAATAAAACTGGAGAAATAAGAATAATATCAGTGGCCTGTATCAACATCAGTATCCTAGTTGTGATATTGCATTATAGTTTTGCAAGATGTTATCATTATTAAGGACAAGAAGGTAAACGGTATATGGGAATCTCTTTGCATGCGAATCTACAATTACATACACGACATTTGTTTTAAGTTTAGTTTTAAAAATATTTGAGGAAAAGCAATAGGACGATTCAAGTTTAAGTTGGTGTATATCCTGAGCTGACATTTTGAGCTCATCTGTGAGGCTGCCACCCTCTGCCTGTAAGCCCATCTGCCTCCCACTGCTCCTGGGAAACACTGGGCTCGTGTAAATGTTTAGCCTGAGGCAGAGATGCAAGCCCTGAAGCTGAATCTACTGCAGGCCTGTTTTCCTACAGCCAGCATTCTGGCCAAGAGCCTCATGCTCATGGATGAATCTAGCCTCGGTGCTGCAGGATTTTGGCGTTGCAGGGCATGCTCAAGCACTGCACCTGTGGAAGCTTCTTTCAGGCTAGTGGACAAAATGCTGGAAGTAGGTTTCCTAGTCAAGAATGGTAACCATGCGTCCGTTCACCCCGGGTCATCAATTGTGGAGGCCAAGGTAGATGCCTGCATTTCTCCACTGGGGTTTGTCTCTCCTGCTTTCTCTGTTGTTAGTGTTATTTTTAATGAACAGCCTGAGTTTGGAGCTAGCTGTTTGAGGATCCAATTCCCATAGAAAGGCAGCAGTATTAATGCGTCTAGGCTTTGGGTAGAAAAGCTATCCTTTGTAGCTTGAAAAAGGTAGTTAACTATGCTGAGCCTCCATCTCCCATCTGTGAGGCATGACAATACTAGTTTCAACAGGTTGTTGTGGGGGTTAAATTAGATAAATCCTTGTCCATGTATTAGTCAGCTCAGGCTGCCATAACAAAATGCTACACTCTCGGTGGCTTAAATAACAGGAATTTATTTCTACAGTTCTGGAGGCTGGAAAGCCCAAGATTAAGGCTGTGCTGCTTTGGTTTCTGATGAGGGCTCCCTTCCTAGCTTACAGATGGCCATCTTCTCCCTGATCTTTCCTTACATGATCTTTCCTCTGTGTGTGCATGAAGAGAAAATCTCTCACTTCCTTTTTTTTAAAAAATTTAACTTAATTTTTAAGAGATAGGATGCTCTGTCACCCAGGCTGGAGTGCAGTGGGCATAATTGTGGTTCATGGAGGTTGCAATTCTCTTATATCAGCCTCCCCAGTAGCTGAGATGACAGTTGTGTGCCATGGCACCTGGCTAATGTTTTAGTGGTTTTTTTTTTTCTTTTTTTCTTTTTTTCTTTTGGTAGAGACAGGATCTCACAATGTTGCCCAGGCTGATCTCAAACTCCTGGGCTCAAGTGATCCTCCTGTCTCAGCCTCCTAAAGTACTGGGATTATAGGTGTGAACCACCACACTGGGCCATTGGGCTTTCCTCTTCTTTTGAAGGCACCAATCTTGTTACATTAGGGTCCTACCCTTATGACATCATTTAGCCTTAATTACTTCCTAAAAGCCCTATCTCCAAGTACAGTTACATTGGGCATTAGGACTTCAACATATGAATGTGGATAGGAGGAGACAATTCAGTCCATAGCAGTCCACTTAATTATCTGACACATGGTAAATGTTTAGAATACATAATTCTTGTAATTATGTTACTTATTTTTAACACTCTAATTGTAAATGATAGACATCAGTGAATTATTCTAGCTTAAGCAAAAAGAAAATCTTCATATAAAAAACGCAATGATGTTTTTCAAATCAAGATTGAGAAAAAGACTGGATTTCAGGAAGTTTCTGGAAATTTAAAGTAAAAACGTATCAAGAGCACTGACTGAAGTCTCCTTCCCCTTCTCACCATCTCCTCACAGCTTCCAAGGACTGGTTTTCTCTACTCTTCCCGGCTTGTAAAGGGGCAATGTCTGCCACTCCACAGCTCCCATGATGCCATCTGCTCTGTGCAGAGCATTTCACACATACTCACTTATAGACCTAATTCAGAACAGCCAAGCAAGGAAGTGGGTTACTGTGCCTGGGTCAGAAGTCCATGCCTGGTCTAACTGCCAATGGCTAAAGACGATAGCCTCCAGCAGCCCAGGTACCTGCTCTTGCAGGAGGGAAGCAATTTTGAGAGACAGTGGATAATTGTTACGCTGGGTAATCACCCCATACAGTGTCTGGTAGGTTTTTCATACTGATGCCAACCCAGTTTAACAGGGTGCCTACTTGAACTGTAAATGTGAAGTCCTGATACTAGTGTAAAGTTGTATTACCTAGACCTGACTCCACCCATTTGAGGATCAGCATTTTCCTTTCAAAGCTAATCACAGGGGTCCTGGGGTACACAGTCCTCCTTCCCCACCTCCTCTGCCATCCTCCTATTCCTTTTTGTTTTTGTTTTTGTTTTTGTTTTGAGACACAGTCTCGCTCTTGTCACCCAGGCTGGAGTGCAGTGGCATGATCTTGGCTCACTGCAACCTCCCCATCCCTGGTTCAAGCTATTCTCCTGCCTCACCCTCCTGAATAGTTGGGATTACAGGCATCAGCCACCATACCTGGCTAATTTTTGTACTTTTAGTAGAGTTGGGGGTTTGTCATGTTGGCCAGGCTAACATTGAACTCCTGACCTCAGGTAATCCACCTGCCTCAGCCTCTCAAAGTGCTGGGATTACAGGAGTGAACCACTGTGCCCAGCCCTCCTGTTCCTTTGGCCGTATGGCTGTCTGGATGTGATTTGCTACCCAGGCTTTTAAAACTGCACGAGTTCCCACAGGTGAGGTTGTTCCAGGATGTGCTGGGAAGGCATGTCTAGCCAGTTCTACACCACTGTGGGGCCAGGTCCTAGTGGCTCCAAAGCTGTCACTTGGGCTACAGCTCCAGCAGTCTCATTGTCACCTCACAGAACTCCCAGCTCAAGGGGGGCGTCTGGCCTCTTAGGCAACAAAGGCAGTAATCCCTTTTCTCCACATTAAATATATGGTTTATTTAATGACTCAGCTTCCTCCATATCAGTGCTATCTTTGGCTACTATTAATCCAGAGGTTCAGAATGGCAAGGATGATGCCCTATTCTCTCTTCAGTGGCCTCCTGTACTGAGGTGCAAAGAACACATTTAGCCAAAGGCGATCTGTATCAATAAAATTCTAATGGAGCATTCTGGCTGCAGCTCTCCTTTTTGAAATCATTGAAAACTGCTGACTGGCCATAGGCAGGTGCATAGATCTTCATTAGGCCCTGCAGGATGAGAGAAAGAAGACATTCTGCATGGAGAAGAATCAGCAGTGTGATAGATCTCCACAGAACAATTAGGAGACCGAGAACCAGAGGATATGAGGAGGAGTCACATTATATCATTTTTCTATTTTATTTTCTGCTCAACCATCTTCCTTATGGCTATCTTTGAGACGACTACCTGGAACAGTTACAACCCTCAATTCTGTTTAATTGAATATTGAAATATTCAATTAAATATTATTTACAATGAAAGCTCTTCTAAACTTGCGGTATGTAACCGACTTCCCTGATTAACCAATACAGCCCAATCACCCTGTAAAACATTCTAGGATAAAGCTGTCAGTGGGTGAGCTCGTCTCAGCCAGCGGGATGCTTTACAACTCTCCACAGGCCAGCTTCATGCTAAGAGTCCCTGTAGTTCTCTGAAAACTGTTTCATAAGCCAAAGATATATAGGGAAGAAAGAGATAATATTGTTTCTACGAAAATTACAGTAAAAATCTTTGCACCTTTCAAAGACTTTAAAAAATAGATTGCCTTAAAAATTGCTGGACAATTACATGTGGACATTATACCTAGAAAAAAAGTTGGGGGCAAGGTCATAAAAATCCAGAAGATATCTGCATTGAGAATGCAGGTCAAATGTCTTTTTTTTTTTTTTTTTTCTGAGATGGAGTCTCACTCTATCGCCCAGCCTGCAGTGCAGTGGTACCATCTCTGTGCACTGTCATCTTGCCTCCTGAGCACAAGCAATTCTCCTGCCTCTGCCTCCCAAGTAGCTGGGATTACAGGTGCCCATCACCACACCCAGCCAATTTTTAGTAGAGATGGGGCTTCATCATGTTGGCTAGGCTGGTTTTGAACTCCTTGACCTCAAACGATCTGCCCACCTTGGACTCCCAAAGTGCTGGGATTACAGGTGTTAGCCACCATGCCCAGTGGCATGTCTTAAACTCTCTCCATTCTAAAGAAACAAAAATTTGGAAAGAGTAGAGGACATTTTGTGGATATAATTTACACTACATAAGGCAGGACTCTTGAAAATAAACAATTCTCAAAGAAGCACCCTTGGTCTACTTCAGAGTTCATAAATACAGGCATGATTATATTTACATTGATGTCAAGCTATATATATATAATTATAAATATATATAGTTT